AAAAAAAAGAAACTGTATTGATTGATTATTTTTAGATGATGAGTCAATAGTAAAAAAAACTCTAAATATGAATGAAATGGATATTATTACTGAACAACATTCACTTGATTTATCAAGAATAAATGATGATAATAATAATGATTTAATTCCAAATTTTATGCCACGAATATTTGAACCAATTATTATTCGTGGTACTGGTCATATAACTGTATTTGCATTAAATAATAAATTTAATGAAGAATATCCTCAAGGTTTAATGCATAAAGTCTCTCGAGATGAATATCAAGAAACAATTAAACATGTTAATATGATTTTAAGAAAAAATATTCCAAATCATTTAAAATGGTAAGTTATAAGATTCAAAAGAAAAATCAATATTGATAGAATGACTATATATGATTGTTCTGCTTTCATGTATATAGTTTAGTTATTAGAGAACAATTTTATTGTCTAATGATGCTCGCAAAATTTTTATCGAGACATTGAGTGAAATAGGAGAAATATGAAAAAAAAACGAATTGTTCACAAGATTAATGTTCAAGGTTAACCTCTTATCTTGACAAAATCAGTAGTAAAAAGTATCTATTTATAAGTGATTTATTATTGCTAATTTTTTATTCAAGGTTGCTTTGTGGTTGTATTTGTTGTTGTTGTACAATGGGTCTTTCATTATGTCCTGTAATATTTTTAAATAAACGTTCAAAGCAGGCAGTTAGTAAAGTACTTGATAATGAAAATACACGTGTTTATCATAAACTTGGTTTACATTGGCATTTAATAAAACAAAAATGTCAAGCTAATTCCGTACAAGAATATGTTCTTATGATTGAATTTCGTCCAACTTTATCTTTATCTCATCCTGATTAAATTCATTTTTTTTTATTATTGTATTTCTTTTTTACATATGTATAAAAAAAAACAGAACAAATTATGTCTTTCAGAACTATAAAATAAATATATATATATATATGTTTCAGATAATTTATAATGTCAATTATAACAATAGTATAATATGTAACTGTTAAATCGATTATTTTAGATGATACATTTGTCGCACAATTGATTTTCATATGCTACAAAGTAATCGTTCAATATGAACAGTTTATTAAAGAAAGAAATGAGAATATAATCGAATTATTAGTATTTGAAGATGTTGTAGAATTACAACGACAAATTGGTTTACATTCCAATCACAGTAAATATCAAGATTTAGTTACTATTGATAAACCATATTTCGATACATTTATCAAAACGTAACATCATATGCTTAAGAAGTAAAACAATAGGTTTATTATAACGGAATCTTAACAATCAAAAGTTAGTTGGCATTTTAGTACCTTTAAATGAAAATACTGCATTATTACAATGGCTAATAGACTATCGAATGATAATGAATATCAGGTAAAAAATGTCAAAATTTAGTTTTTGATAATTTTTTCTTACGCTAAAATTTTCGAATGCATAATCTACATGATGCAAAGAGAGAAGGAGTAAAACGTCTATTGAAGATTTATCATACGTATTGAGCAATATATTCCTATTTAGTAATAATTTAAAATAATAGAATGTTGAACCTAGTAAAATATTAATATTTTCCAAAAGAAAATTGCTTACAGCGGTAATTCTTCAATAGAATTGATGAAAGTTTAGTCCGACATTTATACAGCTGTAGGAAACTATAGAAAGGTCTTCTGTATATATATATATATGAGAGAAATTATTACTATTAAATTGTAAAAGGTGAAGGTTAACATTTCATTATTCTTGTTGAAACACAAGAAAAATCTTGATTAAATTTTGAAGGTTTAACAATACGTACGAATTAGATATACATTGTACTCGAACATACTGACTAGCTCTTCGGTTCAGTCATTTTTATAGAATGAAAGTTCTAGTAAATTAAATGAACGAATTTCAAGGTTAGTTATGAAGGGCTACTATTCATTTCCTTTTTCTATTATGTTGTGTATATTAGAATCTCAGCAAGTCATCTATTATAAAAAGATTTATTTCTTAAATAATCATTTGAAACCCTAGAAAATTTTAAACATACTCGAATCTGCCCAAAAATTCATATAATCTTCTATAAATATTATGCTTTTACTTTCGAAATAAAACTTCCTTATTTTTTCAGAAATGTGTTTATAATATTAATCGTGATGATTATTTTATCGATTAACTAACGACTGCTGCTAATGGATAATCAGTTACATTAATGCTTGTTCGAACTGATCTTGCTAAAAAACATGATTTACCATATAATATTTCAAATTATAACCAATTATGTGACATTGAACGTATTAATATTTAGACTAATTACGAACAATCATCAGCAGTGAAGAATGAAAATGAAAATAATTCTCAAGGTAAATAAAAAATGTAACTGAATTGAAAATAATTCATTTTAATGATTCATTTTTTTTATCGTATTGTACTTGATAAGTACATATACCTCTATAATAGACAAATGTGAGCGAGAGAACTAATAATAGTGAAAATTTTTATCATATAGTAATTACTATGATAAATATCGTAGCGTATATATTGCGATAAAAGATGAATAGGATATAAACTCGATCAGATTTAAATTTATAGATATGTGTTAAAAATTAAATTATAATATAGTCATCGTTAAGGTTATCTGAGAAATCTACTCGATGTGTTACGTAATAATAGAAGTGAACAAAACGCGAAAAGTATTATATTCATGAAAGGATTTTATTAAATTTAAATAAAGAAAATATCACAGATAAAAGTCATCTTCTCTTCTCAAACAACAATAATAAACCATTTAATATCGTTTATTTAAAATATAAAATATCTAAATGCTTGAATACACCCATTTAATTCACTATGAAATTCTAAATTGATCGAAAATTTTTATACGTAGTACACAAGAGAAAGAATAATAATATTACCTATAGAACGATATTTTCACTACATGCATCTGTATTCCTTCATAATCGAATATACATGAGTACCCAATAATTCGATAGGTAGTTTTTTTTTCTATCGTACGTAAATTACTATTTACTCATATGATGATAAATTGCTTACTAGAATATTTGTCGTAGATATCAAGTTAAAATCATGAATAAGAACTGACATATGTTCTGATAAACTGAGTAAGCAATGATGAATGTTTACTAAAAATCGAAGGTAGTGAAAATAATATTGAGTATATAGATATCACTTTAACTTGCCAGTACAAAAGAATATTTAATATAAGCTTTAGCTGAGCAAGGTCTTATTGTTATCGGTCAAGGATAGATCGATTATCAAATACGTTGAACATTTATTATATAATCAATTACACCAAGATAAAATACATCATCGTGGTTTTTGACAATATTCTGATCGAATATTAGATAATTCAACTGAATTTGATTTTATCGATAGAATGCTGTAAGTTTAATCTTATTGTTAAAATATTGATATGAAATATATATTTTTATATTTTATTATTCGTTTTTTTTTGTCACTATTATAAATGTTACGCATATACATTTACACAAAAAAAAGCAATCTTGTTTGTTTTTCAGAAGTTAATTTATCAGAAATTCTTCTATGTTTATTACTATTTTCGATATGGTTAATGACCGGTGAAAAACAGACATCAATTATAAGCCCTTCAATGTTAAATGAAAAACAAAACATATTTATATGTAATTAAATTCAAGGTTAAAATGCTTTTTTCTTTTCTTTTTTCTAGCAAATTCAATCAAAAGTTTAGATAATTTTTAACAGAAATTAATCAATCGTTTTTCATGTATGTAATAGTTGATTATTTTCATACCTTGATGTATATTTATAGAATATTTATCTTATCAATACTAGTTCTCCTATTTTTATATCATATTCACACAGTCATTTTCTATGTCATCATCTTTCATTCATTATTCATATTATCTAGATGCATATATATATTGCTATATGTAGGCGTGCATGAATGCCCGCATACGATTCTCATCGAAATAGAATAAAACTGCAGTAAAGAGACGAGCGAGCAAGCAAAAGAAAAAACGAAAGGAAGAATACAAATAAAAAAGCGGGACTCGAATCGTACATACATATATACATACATACATACAACATTTGCATCGTCATTTGTTCGTCTCGCTTCTTATCATCATCATTCGAACGATCGTCAATCATTTCTTTATACTGTAAAATGTCCTATATAAAACAGTTTCAGTCAACAGGAACAACAAACCTTAATCAAATTCTAGCTGCAGAAGCTCGTCTTGGTCGTCTTCATCGTTTATTTAAGACACATTTCAATGTTACTGAGCCATCGCTCATACTTGAACCATATTTATTTCTTGGTAATTGTATTTCAGCACATGATACAAATCGTTTAACAAAATTAGGTATTCGCTATATACTTAATGTTGCTATACGTGATGTTGAAGTATGTCCTTATTATACAAGTGATGTACGTACATTAACAATTGATCTTCGTGATGATGATCGAGAAAATATATTACGGGCATTTGACCAAGCATTTGCGTTTATTGATGAAGCGCGACGAGCTAAATCTCGTGTACTTGTTCATTGTAGTCATGGACAAAGGTAAATGTATAAATTATTCAATTTTAATAGATATACTTTTTATTATTATTTTTTAATAGTCGATCACCTGCTATTGTTCTTGGTTATCTTATGCGCACATATAACGTTTCACTTGAACAGTGTCTAATTCATGTTGTTAAAGCTCGTCCATGTGTTTTACCTAATGATGGTTTTCTAAAGCAATTGATTCTTTATGATCGTTTTCTTGTTGATCGACGTCGACAAAGAGATGAAGCAGTTGCTAGAAACGCTGTCAATGTTGTCAATATTACACCACCACCAATAATAACGACAACAATAACAACTGAAATTCCAATTCCAATTCAACAAAAACCAGCCAATGCACCTCCATTAACAGCTCCAATAATTTTAGCTCCACCACAATATCCAACTGTTGAACCATCGAAACCACCGAGTATGTCATCAATTGATTCATCAAGTTTAGGAAAAACATCAAGTCTTCGATCATCAACAAGTGCTGATTCAATACATGTCGTTCCGATTCAAGTTCAATCAAAAGCACTGCATCTAGAACAGGTAGAAATCTAATTAATTTTTCACTTGATTTTATTTATCAAATATTCAGATTGAACCAGTTCGAATTAAACAAAGCCCGGTTAGACAAATCATATCTGCTGTTAAAGAAACACCAAATAACATCAATCAATTAAGAGAAAAAGTACCTATCATAGATTTGATTATGGAATCGAACGATATACATCATGTTGAAATATCGAAGAAACGGCAAAGTGTTTTAATATCAAATATTGTGAAACGATCTTCTTCTGAAGCACCAAGATCTCATCCAGCTCATCTTGGTCGTACACAAGTTACTTATTTTGATCAAGTTCCATATTCCCAGACGATTGAAGAATGGGATGTCATCACTCATTATCCTGCAAATTATCGTACATCAAACGAACAACCTCAAGGAAAATACATAACAGAAATTTATGACAAAGCAACAAAACGCTTTATTCCAGCAACATGTTAGGATGAACTTTCTTTATAAATTTAAATCATTGTTAATATTTATTAATATAAATAGAGGGTATTAGGTATATAGTCAAAAAAAAAAGAAGTAACGAACAGTATATTATGATTATTTGTATAATCACCGACTCACCTTATCAAGGTTTAACATTGATTGTCTCACCTTTTGTTATTTAAGGTTTCGTTGAACTTGGAAAAATCATACATGCTATTTTTATTTTCAAAACAATAAACGGAATAATAAGTTTTTTCTTCTTAAAAATGATAAAATGCTAACCTTGTTTCAATGCGACAAAACCGTAACAAATAAGAATGTTATAAGCTTGAAATTTTTTTGATGAGAATAAAAGAAACTGTCGACGACAAAAGTTATATAATAGAAAGAAAAATAAACAGTTCAATATAATTTCTATATACTTTACAACACTGCAATAGAATTAATTAGAACGATAAATTTATCTATTACAATTAAAGAAAGCTATAATATTAAATTGATGATTTTAAACTGTACGTGCAGACGGTACGCATGAAAAACTATCATGAATGATAATGGGAATGAGTCAAGGTCTTCAGATTCATACTATCAAGATTTGATGAAGAGAAGCTATTACTAAAGATCGAACAGGCTGAAATTTATATAGCTAATATTCAACAACGTTTTCCTATCGTAAACATTCATATAGATATCCAAATAAATTATTTAAATTCGGGTAGAGGAATTACCCATTTTTCGAAACATTCACAAGTCAAAATCTTCACAAAAAATGAGATGACACGTTTTTTTGTAAAAAAAGTACTCTATAATAGTTGATTCATTTAGGTTCCTATTTCATTTAATGTTGAATACTATCACAAGGATAGCAGACGTTTGTTCTTGCATATATTAACAGACACAAACTTACTACTAGCGACGTCTACAAAAAAAGCGCGGTCCTATGAAACAATTCACACTAGTCGACGTTCTTGTCCTCTTCTTTCCAGGTTCTTGTTTTTCTTGCTTTTCAGACAAGATTCTTGTGTTTAGGCAAGATTCTTTTCGACGGGAAAGTAAAAAGAATCACGCAAGAATTTCCAGTAGACAAGAATCTTGTCTGAACAATCAGAAATAAAAGAATCAGGCAAGAATTATAAGATATTCAAGATATAATTAATATTCAGGCAAGAATCTTTTTCTTTCCCTTTAAAAAGAATCTTGACTGAAGTTGAAGATAAAAAGAACCTAGAAAGAAACACAAGATATTTTAAATTTCTTAATATTCAAACAAGATTCTTGTAATAGAAAAGAAAACAGATTCTTGTCAGCTTTGCAAGATGAACGGCACGTGATATGGTCTTTGTTTATCACATATATAAAAGCATTGGCTGACCGTTATTTATTCATAATCATTACTGACTGAATAAGTATAGTACACATTCACTTATACTATTTTATTTTTCTGAAGCGTTTATTTAATTTAGACGACATCTAGTAAGTTATTGTTTTAATTGGATGTATAGTAAAAGTTTATTTCATATCAAGAAAACAATCGAATATATGATATCCATTTTCTCATTGTTTACTGAAGGCAATCCTTATTGAACATATTTTGATATTTTTCTAATTCATATCTATATATTTTATTATTTTTTCTAGATTTTTTACTATCGATAAAAGTATTACATATAATGGACGAAGAAAATATGGATTTATTTAAAAAACTATTGTTTGATAATCCTCTTCGTATAGGCAAAATTTTAAGAAAATAAATAATAAAATTTTTTTTTTAATTTTTTTTGTGTTAAAAATTAAAACTACTTCATGAATATGTGAAAATTAAAGTATTTTTTTGTTCTTTCATATTTTTTTTTACATGGTGTGAAATGCTTATAATAAAACGACATGAAAAAGGTAATAATAACCTAAAAAAGGCTTTTTTGATATGATCAGAATCAGGCAAGAAGCCTAAGAAATCAGAAACAGGCAAGAAAATTAAGAAGGATAATAATCAGGCAAGAAAGTAAGAAAGATAAGAATCAGGCAAGAATTTAAGGAAAACAAGAATCAGGCAAGAAAATAAGAGAACAAGAATCTATCTGAAGAAGAATTTCTTGCCTCATCAGACAAGATTCGGTCTACACGAATATCACAAGAAAGGCAAGATCAGTTTTTTCAGGCAAGAATCTTGCATGCAAAGAATAGAAAAAGAATCTTGCCTGAGATGCAAGAAAAACAAGAACCTGGAAAGAAGAGGACAAGAACGTCGATTAGTGATAGTAGACTGCGTACAAATTAGTTATAGAAAACAAAAATGTCGTATAATGGATGGCTTCTGAGCATCATTAAAGAATTTTCTGCTGATGACAGAGAAGAAAGATATTGATGTGTATATCGTATATTAATGCTTCACAATATATATCTTTTCTCGTATATTGTATGGAGTTGTAGGAAAACGTAGAAAAAAAA